GCAAAACCCCGTCTCTACTAAAAATACAAAAATTAGCCAGGCGTGGTGGCACACCCCTGTAATCCCAGCTACTCTGGAAGCTGAGGCTGGAGAATTGCTTGAACAGAGGAGGCAGATGTTCCAGTGAGCCTAAATCACGCCATTGCGCTACATACAGCCTGGACGACAAGAGTGAAACTCTGTCTCAAAAAAGAAAAAAAGACCCACAGTGGTTGCCATAAACCACAGATAGTACTAAACCCTGTATACACAATGCTTTTTCCTATGCATACATATGATAAAGTTTAATTTATAAATTAGGCATAGTAAAAGATTAACAACAATAACTAATAAACTAGGACTACTATAACAATATTCTGTATAACAATATTCTTATTCTGTAACAAGAGTTATGCAAATATGCTATCTCTCTCAAAACATTTTATTGTACTGTGAATAACTGAAATCACACAAAGCCACACTGTGGATAAGGGGGACTATTATAATAATGGTATGTACTCTCAGGGGGTTCTTATGAAGACCAAGTGAAGTTAATACACACAAAGCACTTTAAATCAGTATCAGATACTTAGTGTGTGCTGCTGCTTTTTATTGAGCATGTACTATGTACTGAGAACTTTAACATGAAGTATCTCATTTGAACCCTTACAGCACCCCACTAAAAGATGGCATTGTTAAAACTGTTTTTCAGTGATGAAACTGGGGCTAGAGGGGTTATTGATTGGACAAAGGTCCCTTAACTATGAAGTGACCAATATGGAATTCAGACTTCGGTTTTTCTGATTCCAAACTCTCTGCAAAACCACTACACTCCCCAGCTCCTGACATGAACAGATCTGAATGCAGAGCATGGCAGCTGTGTGTTTGGCCTGAGACCGATTCTCTGTTTACCTAATATCTTCTCTTTGTAGGTAAGACTTACGCCAACCTTAAGCTGCCTTGCCTTCTGAAAGTTTCTCCATTGATTATTTGCCCCCACAGAAACATTGGCAGCCCTTTTGTGCATTTTTAGTATCCGGCAAGACTCCCTTCTAATTCTCTGCTCCCTCAAAAGAAATCTTTTCTTTTCTATACAGGATAAAGCTGGCATCCAGGGTAGAAAATTATTTTGAATGTTGTTTCCCTCAGTGCTTGTCTCTCTTTCGATTCAATTTCTTTGGAGCAGCTCAATGATAATAGGGCTCCACTCCTCACATCAGCAGGAATCTGCACTTTTGAAGAGAGCATGTGAAGACACAGCACTAGCCCATTGCCACTACTTAGCAAGACCCAGGAGACTACTGCCAGCACATAGCATGGCACCCTCTGCCTGCTTCACCTAGAAAGCTAGGTGAAGGTCATTCTTAAATGTACCTAACCAGCCCTCTCTTTTAAACTCTTCTTCAACCTGGAAGTGTCGCTGCTGGCTGGGAACATTGGCCACCAGCATCACCATGTCCCATCTGGTCTGCTGCACTGGCCACGTGCCTTGTCTTCTGCAAGCCCCCCAGGCCTCACTGTCTGCTACAGCCACATGGAGCTTTCTGAAACTGCAGTGTGGTTCCCTGACTCCCTTACTTAAAACACTGCAGTGTGCTCACTACTGTTGGGACAAAGCTGTGATCCCTGCACACAGCATCCAGTCTCATTACCCTCCACCATGGGCCTTCCTGCAGCTCTGCAGACTGGCTGTGTTCTCTCGCAGTGCTGGGGCCACCTTCCCCAGCTCCTTAAAACGCTAATGACCCTACTCGCTGTTTTATGGTGGCTTTTGCAGGAAGACCCTTCCTGGGCTCCCTGGCCTGGTCACACTGTGTTCCATCCTCCACGGCCTTAGCCTCCCTTGCAGTTCCCATTTATGTATGTAGTTGTTAGGTAAATGTACACTCCCTGAGATTCACAACCACAGCTGGTGTTGCTCACCATGATGTTCCCAGTGCCTGAGTGAAGATTATATCATGGGCGCCCACCAAATAATCACCATAAAAGGTGCGGTGGCTCACGCCAGTAATCCCAGCACTTTGGGAAGCCGAGGCAGGTGTATCATGAAGTCGAGATCGAGACCAACCTGGCCAACATGGTGAAACCCCATCTCTACTAAAAATATAAAAATTAGCTGGGCCTGGTGGTGCATACCTGTAATCCCAGCTACTTGGGAGGCTGAGGCAGGGGAATCACTTGAACCCAGGAAGCAGAGGTTGCAGTGAGCCGACATCGTGCCACTGCACTCCAGCCTGGCAACAGAGCAAGACTCCGTCTCAAAATAATAATAATTGCCATAAAACTGAGAGAATGAAGGTAGTACACAGTTTCTCCATGGCAGTGAAATTTTACACCCTTTAGGGGACCCCTCTTGGGACTCCTGTTGTCCCCAAATCGAACTTTCTACATTTCCGTCCAAACACTTCCAACAATTCCCCTGAACCCTCAGATTTCAAGGTAATTTCTATAGCCAGAGTCATGGAAACGCCAAGGCCTTTTACCTGACTTTTATCCTGTGCCCATGAGCGGCCCCCCCCAGCAGTGTTTCCCATGTGATTGTCCACTCAGATGCGAGAGTGTCGCCGTCACCTATGTATAAGCTTCAGAGTTACAGCTCTTTGTGAAAATCTTGCACTCTGGGTTTGACCAGCAGTCCACCAAGATCTCTACCTCCCTGAGAGTTTTTTGATCCTTCATAGTTTTATTTATGGAAGGGTTGAAAATTAGCCTAATCCCTGCAGCTAACTCACCTTTCCAATTCAGAGGGTCCTTTTCTTCATTTTGTAACGCCTTTTATATCAAGGATACTCTACACATTGCGTTAATTTGTGCAGATAAGTTGACTAATTTATGCTCTCCTTTGCACTAGACAGATACAAGTAAAAAACAGTTCATTTATTGAGCACTTACTTGTGACAGGCACTATGGCAAAGGACATTCCAGAGACTATCTGAGTAAATCCTCATAGCTCCTCTGTGAGGAGTGGATACTGTTATCCCATTTTATAGACAAAAAATGAAAGCTTGGAGAAGGCAAATGATATGTGCAAAGTTGCACAGCTGCTAAGTTGGAGGGCTGCAATTTGAACCCATAACTGCTTACTCTGGAGTGCGTGCACTTAGCCACCATGCTGCACTGCCTTGTCCTTTAAAGAAGTCAGTCACTTGCAGGTTATGAGATGCTTGGTAGGAAGCGACATATCTGCCCCTTCCCTTCTCCCCACTTCCTGCCTCCTACGAGCCTATAGCCAGTGTTCACTTTTTAAGCCTATTTAAATTGGTTCGTGTTTAAGATACAAAGAAAAGCCATGGCATACAAAGTTGAGTTAAATCTAGCCTAACATAGTCATGTAAGACTGTATTATCTACCAATGTATGTTTTATTTTTAAAAAGTGGCTTTCATTTTCATCTTAACATTCCTTTTTTACAATTTAATAATAGCAACCATAGCTTTGTGGCATGTTTAGCAAAGTAGCACCAGTCCTGGAGTCCTAGGCTTAGTCTGTTGTTCTGCTCCAGATCTGCTGTTTTGCCCAGGGGAGCAGTGGTCGGCGGGCGGGGCGCGTAGTGATCCCTCCTGGCTGCGTTTCCTCACCTTCTGGGAAGGTTCTGCCAATCAGAGGCACTGGTGGGAGGGAGGGATGGGGCTTAAGGAAGAACCTGGGTGTTCCCCCATTCCCTCTCTGTCTCCCATGGCAGCTGCATCTCCTCTAGTGCTCCGGCTCCCATGACCTGGGCTCCATTTATCTCCTCCTTTTGTCCCTCCAGCCTCAGGGTGACAATGGCTTCCTGCCCTTCCCGTCTCTGGGCTGTGTTACTGCCCCATGGACCTTCCACCATCTGGGTACCCAGTTCCTATGGTTGAATTTCCTGTGTTTTAAATAGATAGGGCTTTCCATTTTCTATGTTGGACTCTGATGGATACTCCAGTATTCTCATATGTGATCGCAGTACTTATTCACATTTTATTTTAGAGGCATGGAATTAAAAACATTTATTTATTTTAAGACGGAGTCTCACTCTGTCACCAGGCTGGAGTGCAGTGGTGCAATCTCGGCTCACTGCAACCTCTGCCTCCCAGGTTCAAGTGATTCTCCTGCCTCAGCCTCCCGAGTAGCTGGGACTATAGGCGCGCGCCACCACACCCAGCTAATTTTTGTATTTTTAGTAGAGACGGGGTTTCACCATGTTGGCTAGTATGGTCTTGATTTCTTGACCTCATGGTCTGCCCACCTCGGCCCCCCAGCGTGCTGAGATTACAGGCATAGGCCACTGCGCCTGGCCCTTAAAAACATTTAATCCTTTATGTTCACTGTGGTCATGGTTTTAGGGGGAACCTGGCAGGATGTCTGGTGGCACTGCTTCTAGTTCTAGCTGAGTCACTAGGGGAGCTTAGGGTCACTTAGGTCAAGACTCTCCTCCATGTTAAATGAGGGAACTCCCTAGGGTCCCTTCTGGCCGCTCCATTTTCTGACTTTAACTCCTTCAGAACCAACACAATTTCAAGTTGCAATTTTCGTTTCTGTGGGGACGAGTGACATGTTTCCTTCAGTGTATTTGTCCCTGGCCCCAGCCATCTGTCTTGATGTATGCAGTGGGTCCCTAAGGGATCAGGTGACAGAACATGTGTGAGCCAGGGCAATTCCATCCCTACCCTGGGAAAATCAAGGACAGGCCCTTTCTGATTCTGACCTAGGCAGGGCACAGCGCACACTCAGAAAGAGCAGAGCAAGAGGAAAACGTACTGCTCAGCTGTCTTTTTCTATGGATTTAACAGTGTTTCAAAGATGATGTTTCGTATATTCCCCCAAATATAAAACCCATCGGCAGAAGGTACAGCTGGCACTTGTCTGACGTGATGACTTTTCTTCCTCTCCATTTTAAGCACAATCTTCTTATATTCACTTAATTATATTCTTAAACACCATTGAAAACAACACCTTATCCAATATTGCGTGTGTATGTATTTGGGGCCAGATGTTCTGGGTGTCTTAAATAACTTTAATTTACTAAACCTCACTCCCCCTCCCCCACCCCAGCCCTTTCTTTTCAGAAGACACATTTAGACAATCACCATTCACCTCCAATTCAAAAGAACTGCTGCCCAGTGAATCTGTGCTGCACGGAAGAATATCAGCTCCAGGTATGGAAACATCGTTGGCTTTGCTTCTACCTTTGGTTGCTTAAGAATTACTTTTCTGAAATGTGCGAATTTTCGATACTTTCAGCTTACAGATGTAGTCATTCATATGCGGTTAGGTTTTAGAAAAGAAGGAGAAACTCAATTTAAGCTAGAAAAGCTTATTAAAATAAAATGTTTATAGTAATAAGCCTCTTCATCTTCACTTTAGGAGCTTATTGTTCTTTACCTGCTGATATTTCGCCCACATAATGAATTTTTTTTCTTTAAAATAATGAAGCATAACCTGACACTAATTTGCTTTCCACGTTGTATTTCAGACTGGCAGCCAGGAATATAGGGGAGGGCAGTGGCTAGAGCGCTAGTTCCCAGCAGGGCAGGTCATGACCCCAAAGGGTGTGGGCCGCCACAAAGACCACCTCAGTTTCCGTGGAAACAAGACAGCTCATTGAGAAAACCATGCCACCCAGATTTTGTCTCTCTTCTTGGCCATAGTATCTAAATATATCCATCCAGTGCTCCGGTTTGCCATCTCAGCCATCAGTACATCATTTTTTATCCATTCTTCCTTTTTTTATTTCTTCTTTTCAGGGTAGAAGGAAGGATGTGCTTGCTGCTCCTTATCCACAGCATGGCCATCCTGGAGGGCTTACATGTGTGTTCTCAGAGTTACTGTGAACCACTGCACTCTAGTTCATCCTTCCTACATATACCCACCCCACCTACCACCAATCCAACAGCCAGAAAACTTCTGCCAGTTACTACCTTCCTTCCCAGCTGCGGAGAGGATCTCAGCAGCACTCAGTAGCCTCCATCTGCATTCATTTGTCCAGGAGACCGAGGCCGGGTATGTGCAGGGCTCACGGCAGGGTTATTGGCCCCACAGCCCCTTCAAGAATAAAGTCCAAGTCTCCTCCACATACTCAAAGAGCCCTGTTTCACAGGACGCTGGAGAACTGATTAATTTGCAATGACGAAAGAATCCGGTAACATCTGAAATACTGGCATCGGATCTCACAGGTCATTGGAAATGGTTTGTGACGAACTAGGGGTGGAGGGTGGGAGTGGGGAAGGCAACTCTTTGTCATTCTTGAGTCTCATAAGGGCAGTTCCATCGCTTCTCATCTCCACACATCCAGTCAAAGAATGCAGATACCTGCATGCTTTCTAGCTCTGCAGGCAGGGCTTTTCTATTCAAACACCAGAAATAACGTGCTTACACAAAACCACATTACATAATAGCTGGTTCTAGAGGTGGAAAGAAATTCTGCTTAGTGTATGTCTTCATACTCCAATAGGGGCTCTTGGAACTACTGTTTACTTCCCACAGTGTCATTTTGAATAGCCGTCTCCCTGGTCCCAAAATCATTGCCCTGCTGTTAAGTTGATGGATTGTGACTTTCTAATGTCAAAATAACTGCCTAGGAATTGCCTGTCAGAATGCTGTGACCCATACGGCCAGCATCCCATGATGTATATACAAACCCTGCACTGCTGGCTTAATGTTTGGCTTGGCTGTATTTAAAGCAGGGTTTGTTGGTCAAGTTAAAACTTGACCTAAAGAGTGATTTCAGTATATGTTTAACTGTACATAAGGGGTTTTCTGTGATTTGCTTGGTAAACTTACGTTAGACATTAGATGAACTCACATTTTAAAGGCTTAACTCTTGTTTTGGGGGAGAAAGTCAGCATAACCCGGATTTTTAAAATGTAAATCTACCCTGCTGAAACATAATCAATCTAATACTCCACCAAAGCCTTCCTTCTTACTCCACCAAAGCCTTTCTTCAGGTAGAGAAAAGCAAAATGACTTCATTTACATTTTGTTAAAATAAGCAGCTAAAAAAAGACTTTAAAAAAAAAGATAAGCAAGGTGAAAATGCTTTGGGAATGGAGTTGAAATTTGAAAAAAATTTAAAATGATAGGGACAACCTTGTGATCATAAAGGTCTCATAATCTGAAGACAGTTTTGTAAGGAAGTTCTCAATTATTTGGACTAATTGTGGAGAAGACCAGTCTGAATTAATCAAAGTTACCAGTGTGGAGACTTTTAAAGAAAACTTACTTCTTTCAAGTCTGGACAGTGATGAATGGCCATGGATGAGTATACATCCTGAGGCCCTTAATCACAATTCTCAAATCTAAAAAACCCTACCAACCAAAATTTTTGGTATACATATTTTGTGGCAAAACCTAATGGGAAGCTATTTATAGTCTTTATTTATTACAAGGGTGAAATTTACACATTTTGCTGCAGAAATATCAGTGCACTTGACTATGAAGTGTTGCTGCAGGCCCACTGGGATGTTACGTAAAGTGTGTTTTATGCACCATGTTGTCATCCTAAAATCAGAAAGAAGTATGAATCCCAAATTACATCTGACCCCAGGGGTTTCAGATAGATATTGTGAATCCACATTTATTTTAGTAATCTGCTACATGCAGTGCTGGGAGCAAGGACAGTGAAGCTACAGTCGAGGATCTTAAAGTTCTGAAGTATAAGAGTCATGGGTTCTTATAGAACATTTCATCTGGGATAGTAAGATTGGGGTGTGAAGGGAAAAAAATGAAAAGAAATTTTTAGAAGACCAATCCAGCAGCAGATTGCTGAAACACTGGAGAGGACTGGGGACAAAGGACAGGAGACCAGCCGGGATCCTCTAGTTCCAGGGCGGCTTTATAAATAAGGGCCTGAGTTAGAGAAAAAAAGAGGAGTGGGGTGGGAGAAGCAGACAGAGGATGAGTTGGCTGGTTGGGAGACTGGCTAGCTTTGCTAATAAGCAGGTTGAATTAGGAAATGATAGTGGCTGTGAAGAAATGGGGAAGCCAGAAAGGAGACAGCTGGCTTTAGTGACTAGGTAGAAAATAATTTGTTGTTAGTGTACAAACGAAAGCCTCAGAATCCTTAGACATCTTCTCTCAGGTGATTTAAACATTACCATTAGGAAACTATTTCTACCCTTTCTTTACTTAACAAACCTCTTTCAGCAGATAATGCAAAAATAAATGTCAGCCCAGAGAATTCTGTCAGATTCCCTATTAGCAGAGACCATCATTAATGAGATATAATGCGCCTAGTTCCATTTCCCTTGCAAATGCTGAAAATACATAGCATCATTTCAACAATATATACAGTATTGGTCTATAGTTATGTACCTTCTACCAATAGGATGAAGCGTCCAGATGCCTTCAGATCAAAACCACAGAGCAGTTGAGGTGCCAGATGAGAATATCATTTAGTGCGTAGCAGCTGCTGGGCCAAGGGGATCCATGGTAGCCTCACTGTGTTGTGCTTGTGTTTCAGGCCTGTTGGAGAAGGAAGCCAGCAGTGAGTGGGATTGCAAAGTAGGGAGAGGTTGGTAGAACTGTGGACTGTGAAGAGATCAAGAATAGCACAGTTAACTAGGCATTTGCCTTCGGCAGATGGTATCTGAAACTCACAGCTGCCACCGTCCCAGAGAAACAGAATAAACACAGAGCTTCACGGTGTCCTGGCCACGGTTGTTGCCAGTATTTCTAGACTGACTTTCCTGAGAACTAAAGAATGCTCATGTTAGCCAAGACCTAACATTTTCACTTGCTGCGAACGTCTTAGGCAGAGGTAGCATCAGGAATCATTAATAAAATGATGAGTTAAAAACGGCTGTCAACTTCTGCGGGAGGGATGTGGGGACAAAATATCCTTAGAGCCATAAATAGATTACTGAATATACCCTGGGTGGTGATGTTGCTGCTGGTGACTTTACAAAAGACATAAAAGAGCTTTCCTATCATGGGGGAGATAGAAATTACAGACGACGTGTAATTTAATGTACTTTATTTAATTTATAGTTGACTCACTTTGTGCAAAATTTACATCAATAGGAGAAAGATTCCGAGGTCAGGTGATTTTTCAGGGCGGTGAGTCTGTATTAAGAGCAGACCCATTGCCGTCGTACCTGCAGCTGTTCCTGTTTCCCATCATCTTGCTGTAAGCAAAGGCCGTTAAGAGAAGAATTTATATCCCAGTACTGCTTTTAAACAATGTGGAGCTTCCATTCTGTGTTATTATGATTTTGAAGTCACAGTATGTTTGCTCTGTATTAAGCCAAAAAACAAAAACACAACCAGAGCGGGTGTGAAGGAAAAATGTGGGTCTCTATGGAATTCTCTCCGAGTGTTTGGAGTCCCCCGTGTTTCCATGTGTTATTTCAGATGGAGCCGGGAGTGAGATGATGGAAAGCACATCCGCAATTATATTCGTCAATTCCTTCCCTCATTATTTCCTAACTTGCATTTTAAAAGTCTCTTTTTGTTGGTTGTGTTTATAATGTACAAATCAGAAAAGGTAAACATCAGCACCCCTCAGCAAAACAAGTTTTTATTGGTAGGCAGGGGGAAGTTTTCATTTCTTCAGGACCTGCTATGCCAATCAGAATTTGATGTTCAATCAAAAGGCTCGTTTGGAATTGTCTGCCTTGTCCCCAGGCTTGTTCTTGATCCATTTTCCCCTTTCTGGTCTGACTATCAATCTAATATACTATGTCATATACTTTCCTGAAATCTAAATAAATGATGCCTTGCATTAGAGTGTCACCTGCTACTAGCTCTCAGCCTGACACACTCCTGGTCAGAGTGACCTCTTTAAAACAGTTGGCTTAAAAAGACATGTCTCGATGTGTGCGTGTCACCTTCCTTTGTGTTAAGACTTCCCAACTCACGCCTCGAGAGAGAGACACACACATATAAAGCATCTTGGATTATATTATAGCAAACTATTTTCTTCAATCCATTCTCAAACACAGCAGATTCTTTTTCAATTTAGACAAAGTCATAGATAAACAATAGAACATAGGGTGTTGGTGTGTATCATTTTGTAACTTGAGCTTTTTTTTTTGATGAGACAAATTCATTTTGTACAGAGAAGGAAGCTAGCAGTTTTCAAGGGTCTATTAAATTGTCAGGCACAGGACATATGTCATCTCATTTTTAATTCTGGAAACAACTCATTGAGACACAGGAA